GGCAGTAGGACAGGTCCCCCAGGCCACGTCCAGCTCAGAGCAGACTCAGGGCCTGGGCTGCTCTGGTGCATCCACAGCACTCACCCACAGCTCGAGCCACAGCACCCACTCTGCTCCCACCCTCCCCACATCCCCAGGGACGCACAAGCTCAGAGTTCACAACCGCTGCATCCTGCAGGGTTGGGAAAAACTGGGGAGCATGAAACATCCCGGATTAATTAAAACACCTTCAGATTCACAAGGAGGACACCCTGTCAGTGCCAGAAGCTCCTTCCAGGCCAGTGGGACCACAGACACCCAACAGCCAGTGGGATGGGTTTGGTGCAACAGTCAGACAACTGCCTGTGCAGGAGAGTGGGATGTGGGTCCGGATGGCAGCAATTTGGCACAGCCCAGCACTGCCACACACTGACAGAGCTGGCTGCAGCCACCCCTCCCAAAGCAGCAGCACCAGCAGAGCCAGCCCAAAGGGACAGAGACTCTGCTGACCAGCGGCGAAATTCAGGGACACCACGATTCATCCTCCAGACACCAGAGCTGATGAAACATCACAACTTCCAGCACACAGGAGCAGGTGGCCCCACTTGGATGTGGCAGCCTCCAAGATCAGCAAGGGACACCAGGATCCCACACCCCAGGGCTGACAGGGATGGGTCAGCACCATCCCTGGCTGTGGGATCACACCAGTTTGGGGCATTCGGATTCCAGACGCATGCTGCCTAATTTACGGTTTAATTAATAAATGGGGAATTATGCCAAGTTTATCCAATACTTTTGGATGCGTGATGTTATCAAAATCCTATTACTGATGAAGGAAGGCATGAAGAGCAAAATTAGCTTTGGCATCTGAAACAGTTCAGTTGATGCGATAACACAATTATTAGGKCTAATAATCAAGGAGCACTTTGGGGAATGCAGGCTCGGGCAGGAGCTGAGCTGAGGGCAGCTGCAGCAGGGGGACGAGCAGGGGAAGAGCCAGGTGCTTCCCAGGAAGGGAAGGCCGACCACAGCCAAGGGCAAAAGCATTTTGCCGACTGCACTTAGCGGCGCCTCCAGATAACTGGCACAGGGAAGGGGCTGGTGGCCACCAGGCTGAGGAGGAGCATAGCCAGGCACAATGTCGAGCTGCACTGCCAGGAGTAGGGAATTAAAAAATAAAGGATCTTAAAACCAGTGGGTACTGGGTCCCATCTGTACACTGGGCATTGATCCTGCTGGAGGACATCGCGGCTGCCAGCTCGCAGCTCTCTGCGCAGCCCGGGGAAGGAGAAACTCCAGTCATAATGAGGAGCTGCAGTCATCCGGCTTCCAGAGCTGGGAATTTGCCAAAACCATGGTGAACTGGAGGAAGGACCTGCTACCATCCCTCGGGGTGAGCAGGAGTCCCAGCTCCCTTTGGTGGCCTTCAGCTCTAGCCCAGTGACTGTTCCCAGGGCTCATGGAGCAAGACACAACTCCCATAGGAGCAGCCAAGGCCACAGCTGCACCACAGCTCCAGCAGGAAGGTGGCTGGTTTGGAAAGCCCCTCCCCAACCACATTTATAACATTTATCTATGTACAAGGGTCTATATGACTGTGTTTGTGTGTCCTCCCTCCTCCGTGGGTGCTGTGGGCAGCGGGATGCAGAGCCAGGGCGGCCGGCGGTGATGCAGCGCAGCCGGTGCTGGCTCACCACGCTGCCATCGCGGGCTCGCAGGCAGCAAGGGACGTGTCCTCGCCCTGCAGAATCGGGGGCACCGGGGCTTCGGGCTGGCTCCCGGCAAGCGAGGCAGTGGCGCTCACCACAGGAGGCCGGGCAAGGTGCCAGGGGACCGGGCAAGGTCAGACCCATTCCTGCACTTACACCCACATGCAAGGAGTAGACGGGGCACCGCTCCGAGAGGCGCTTGGGGTTTGGGGGCACTGGGGTGCTTTGCTGGGTTGTGCTGTTCCCGAGCAGCACCGGTGACATCCCCCTGTCTTTGCTGGCCTCAATGACCTTGGGTGCATCACCTCCCCGCCGATGCCCCACACTCCCCCTGCACACAGACCACCGCCAGCCACCCTTCCTCCCATCAAAACCCTTCGGCCAAAAGCACCCACGCGCAGCAAGGGCGCAGAGCCCCGGGGGTGCCCCGGGGGTGTCCCGGGGGTGCCCCGGGGGTTCGGCAGCCCTCGGCAGCGGGCGGCCGAGGCACTGTGCAAGCGAGGAATAATGCAGCAGGCTGGAGACTCCTGCCGGTGGCTGCGCTGCCGCTCGGCGCGTGCAGGAGTAACACCGCTGCAGCAGCACCTCGCGTAGCAGCCAGCCTGCGCTCAGGACTGAAGTTTTGCTGCAGCAGAGGAGCAGGCGGGGAGCCCAGAGCGCCCTGCAGCTCCACAGCGCGGGAGGCTGTGCTGCCGGACACTCTGCAGTGGGTGACACCCCGCAGCACTCCGGCCACTAGCACTCGGAGGACAGGAGAGCGCTGTGCCAAGGAGTGCCCGTGCAGAGACAAACACAGARGCACTGGTACAGCTGGGGACCACCAAGCGATGGGTGACACAGACGCGTGTCCCCCCCTCCCCGTGCCACAGTCACCTTGCAACGCTGCCTGTCCCCTGCGCAATTTGCAGAGCTCCTTTGGGATCACTCTTCAAAACTAGGCTGAGGGGAGCAGCGATGTGCTGGGCACAGCAAGGGCTGGGGCACCCCAGTGTGACACCCCCGGCGCTGGACTGAGCCCCTCTGCACGGCTGCACCCTGACGGCATCCAGCCAGCCCAGGGAGGGCTGGAGGATCCAAAGCCACGGCGGGGGAATCCAGACGAGGGGTCTGTCTGGAGCTGGCTCCCAGCCAGGCCGCTACGGAGAAGCCGACAGTGCAGCGGGGCTTGTGGCCGCCCACGCCGGGGCCACGCCGCTCCCGCGGGTTCCCCGCACCAGGGTGGGTTCCCCGCAACGCTGCGGGAACAGCCCCGCRCCCCGGCACTCCCCGGGGCCAGCACCCCAAGGGCACCCATAGTCGGGCAGCCGCAGGGATGAGGAGCTGGAGCATCCCGCAGCGCCCAGAGGGCACCTTTGACCCGGCAGCACCGCGCGGCATTCCCGGGGTGGCCCCGCAATCCCAGGGGGTCCCACGCCTTCGGGGGAGTCCCGAAGCCCCTGGGTGCTCCCCTCCAGTTCCGCAGCTCCCTGCACCACTGGCCGCCCTCCTCTCCATCCTACCGGGCTCTGTCCCCATCCTCCTTCTGGGGGAAGCCCCACTTAGGCAGCTTCGGGGCGTTGGGCAGCGCTAGGACCCGTGTCCCGGGAGGGGCTCCCGGGAAAAGCGCAGGTTCTTGCCCCGCTCCCGGCATCGGGACACGGCAAGGCGCGTTACCCGGTGCCCGTGGCGAGTAACCCATCCCACCCCTGGGGACGATCGCACCTCGGGTGGCGGCGCTGGGACGGGTTCGGCGGGAGCACGGGCGGCCCCATCCCGCAGAGCCCGCGCCGCTGCGACACCGGGGCAAACTTCGGCAGGAGTCGGGCGAGCACTTACCGGCCGGGGCGGGGGGAGCGGTGCGGCGCGGTGC